GCTCCACGGTACAAGAGGTGCGTCAGTTGGAGCGCTTGTCTGCGAAACAGGCGACGGCAGAGGAGGCGCGTCGATTTGAAAAATCAGAATTTGAGGCAGCCGAACGGCGACGTGAAGAATGGGTGTGTTGCAAATAGAGCAAGACGAAGTCGAGCTACCAAAGCCCATAGTATCGAGATGGGGTATATGGGAAAAATAGGCTTTTATTCATCTTTCACACAAACTGAGGCAAGCCTATATTGTATGAAGTTCCAAATCAACAGAATGTGCTATATAAGTTGGTTGAGCTTGTTTTCGCAAATGGGTCGTATTGGCAGGAAGAACAAGAAGAACACATCTTGTCCGGAGGACATAGTATGCATGATAATTGTAACAATCGGACTGTAAACTTGACACATTCCCAGACGTAGTCGGCATCGTCAGTGAGTCTTGCCATTCTTAGCACCACACTACAACTCGTCAAAGAGACAAGTGTTTCGATTATTTGGCCAATTGTCTAATAAACAATTGTGGTATCTCTGATCTACCAGTGTATTCCCGTTTCCCACATCCTCGTAGCACCCCTTCAATATCAAACTTTCATACTTACTTATTTAAACCTGGTTCTGGTTTTTTATTGAGGCCTATTCACACTCCCCCTGGTTCATACAGTTCTCTCACTGCCAGGAATGTTGAGCCAAGGCTGCAGTTTACTCCGCAATCCTCTACTTTCAGGTCCCATCACAGTCTGCCTCCTGCCCCGTAGGATACATGCCTTATCTATCCGGTTCAGTAATTTCACTCGAGGCGCTATCTTCTACATTTTGTCCCACGCCGTCAATAACACGTATTCACTAGCCCCACTGAGCAAGCAGCATGGCAACCTAACTTGACGCTGCAGATTCCCTTATCTCTGTGCCGCATGTGCACTGGGTAACTTCCGTCGTCATGCCTTTAATTTACCGACCACGTCTATCACCAAACTCGTCTACGACTAGCCAACAAATGATGATCTCCGCCGCATGTCTCGAATTTCTCTCTATAATGGTAAGTTTCTGATTTGTTTATACCCTAAAATTTTGTGAACTGAATTCCGAATGCTATAGTTATTTAACTTACTCTGA